GAGCCCGCCCCCCGCGCCGCCCCGGGGCTGCCCCGCCGTGCGGCTGCTGCTTCGGAGCCGGGGAGGGAAGAGCTGGTGGTCGTCTCGCAGTTCAGAAGCCATTGGCACGGGAAGAAAACCACAATAATGACAGTGATTATCTTTTTTCTTTCTGTGTTTTTTTTGATAGAACACTGTGTTTGGCGGTACCAATATACGATACTGAAAACCAGTCTCTGCTATTTTTAACTTAATGGTGTCCGTTTTTCATAGGAACAGCAGAATGGTTAGAGGCAGAGAGCAAGCAGAAATTTAAAGAAAACTTTAAAAATGCATATATTGTCATTTCAGGACTTCTACAGAAATTTTTCCCCATTTAGCATTTCCTTTGCTAAAATATGCTAGCATGCGTGTGCCTGCAGTACGATCACTCTCAGTTCCGGAATAACAAAAATAGGACCACACATACTCTGATACAGCTTTGCCATAGTGAATTAAGTAGTTTAAGGTATCCAGCTACATCAGCAGTATGTATCAGAAGTTACTCCAGGACTTTTGCTTTTCTGTTTCTGTTACTACTTGTGACAGACATACCAGCCACTTGCATTGGAGTAATCCAGTTCAGCTCCACTTAGGTCCCTGCAATTATACATTTAGACAAGTGGAGCGTTTGGCAGAAGAATCAATGTTGTTATGCTCTGGTATAACTTACAATGGACAGATAATATACAATGACACAGAGCATCTTCCTAACTCTTTTTTTGTGATGGTTCTGTCATCTAACAAATTACATAAGTTTTTCTTCCTGTTTATATAGTTCCACCTGATTCTATTTATGCAGTCATTCTGAAAGAGGGAAGCATCTCCTGAGAAACAGGCTTAATCCCTACAGTGGTTCTTAACGCAACCTTAAAACTGCATTTCTGTTCTAAGTCCAAAGGCAATGTGCTTCTTTCACTTACCTTGATAACGGATTAGTATTTGTGATGTGATTTCTACATCCCGACAAGTTTTTTGGCATAATCTTACACAGCTTCATTGATTTCAGTGGGGCTGTATGAATTACATACTAGGAAAGTATGTGGCATTACAGCTGCTTTTAGTGTGGCAGAAAGGCCTTTGATATCATACCAAACAAAATTCAAATATTTCACAGAAGAACATGCAATATCTTATGTTGGCAACACTGGGCAAAACTTCCACTGATGTCATTGTGAGTTTTAACTAATCTGCGTTTTTCAAGATAGGTGGGCAGCTTGCACTGCAAGTGACCTTCATACAAGGCGTCTGTGTTGTCTAAACACATTTTGTGTAGTAAAATAATCAGCAATGAATAAGCCAAATTATGATTTTAAGCCTCTACTTTCTCTTACAACTAGATATGTAACAGTAATGCGCTATGGGAAAATATTGTGGAGAACTTGTGTGACACAATTACACCTGAAATGAAAGAACTTGCACAGGAAATGGGCTGGAAACAATTCTTCTTCACAAACAGACTTCAGCTACAGCTGCAGCTCCGAAGGAGGAGGCAGAAACAAGATGCTCAGAACAAAAAACTAACTGAATAAAGATGCATTTTTCATTGAAGCAATTGTTGTAAGGTGTGGATTTGCTGTTTATCAGGTCAGACATACTGACTTTTCTGCTTTACTAGGGAAAGCAGATTATTTTAAGGATTGAAAGAGGAAAAACAAAATATGTCTTACTCAGAGCAACGTGTAAATAATAGAAAGTTTAACATGTGGGGCATCCTTAAATTGTATTACAGTCAGTCAGCATCATAACAGTTACTAGCAATAGAAGAGGTTGTGGCTTCTTTGTACTTCTTCGTTCTGACTTCTCTATTTTGTATATATGCTATACATGCTCCACGTCTTATATCAGATGATATGCCATTGTCATCGTTACTTTTATAGAAAACCATCTATCATTTCTTACTACAAAAATTGCTGATGAATGCTGAGGTTTTTACCATGGTAAATTTGCAATGTTTACAGGCAAGTCACATGTAGCTGGTTCCAGAGTTTGATGTGTGTTAAAATGTTTTTAAATTAATTATCTAAACTTCAAGCAAATAATAATTTTGTCACCCAGAAGAAACTTCTTTGGTAACTGAGGGTGTGGATCAAATGATCATCCTCATCTTAGACAAAATCCCTCACAATCATGTTTGAGGCACTCTGCCAGAATGGTATATGGGCAAAATTTTTCCTTGATGTTGCTGATGTAGGAACTTCTGAAAGTAACTGACTTCCATTGTTCGAGCTGCATATTTCATGAGACATTTGCTATCCTAAAAGACTGTAACAATGGTTACTTAAGTGTGTTGTAAAATGAAGGCAGTTCTTAGTGACATTACTGACTTACTCCAACAATCAACTGCAGTAATCAAGAGTCCCAATATTACTCTGAAAGTACCAGTTGATTAATGTATCATTTGCCATTAACTAGACTTAAGACCTGAGTATTAAAAACAGTGATTGCAGTATTTGGATATAATAGTGTAATATTTGAAGAGTGTATTAGGTTTACAATTTTTGAACATGTCAAGTATTAAACTTGAATTTTATAAATTGATTTAAAACTATGAGTACAGGGTTCTTACATAATTCTATTTCTTTATAAAGCAGTATTTTAATTCTTACAAGATATTTGCTAATTTAGAATATTTTGTTCTACAACTATATACCAATATTCTTGAAGGATCTGGTGATTGTGGATCTTTAGATGAAGAAATACTTAAGTATATTCTTTCCTCTTTGTGACTATTTCCTTTTAGGACAATGACAAATAAAAATTTCATGATGTGCATAAAATACTGTATTCATAAAATTTCTGTTCTGTGTAATAAAACACTATAAAATGTAATTTTGCTTTAGAGAGATGATTTTAAGAACTACAGTATGTGATCAGGGCTACTAAACAACAGACCCTCTTTTCTCACTTTCTGTCAATTTACCACCAATAAATTTTTTTCTTAGCTTGTGCTCTCATAACAGATTTAGGAATTTCAGGTTAGGAAACTAGAACCCATGCTAGCCAATATGGACTGAGTGAATATTAATTTAAAATCCTAATTTAACTCGATTTTGTGAGCCCACCTTCCCTTCTCCTTGATCAACCATGTACCTGCCCCTTCCGTTACTAGAAATAAGAACAATCATTTTGCAGGAGAATCTTCATTTTTAAGCTTAAAAAAATGAATTTAATTAGTAAATGAACAGAAAGTGAAATTTTGGGTAATGCAAGTTTATTCCCATCTATGGTCCAGTAAGGACTTCTATAGAAAGGTATATTGCAGATATCATAAGTGAACAACATATTATTCATTACAGTAATACGCAAATGAAGTTGATTTTGACAAAAGACGAAGTGAAGATCTAAGTATAAAGGGTACATATCTTTCAAAAAGAAAAAAAAGGAAATTGAGAGAAATCATCACTTCAATATATATATATTTCACCAATAAAAGATAGCGCAGTTAAAATAAGCTAGCAGCAGCATTCACACCAAGAAGACATTAAACCTGTAACAAAAGAACTGATGTGAAAGTGTAGTTTACATGAACATTTTCTCCAACAAAAAAGCTGATTTTAAGAAATTACTGACTGCGTGTTCACACCATGTGTTGCAGTTCACTGCCACCTCAGTTGTTTTAATATTAATTTTAAAGGCCACAGATAACTATCCTATATGAATTAACTGATCTAAATCTTAAAGTAGTTTGGGTTTTCTTTTTTAACTTGGCTCATTTCAGTGATCTGTTTTAAAGTATGTCCCTGCCAACAGTTGTAGAAGTGTGAAACTAAGAAGTTGGTGAATTGCAATATAGAACAATACAAGCTGAGGTTACCTTGCAGCTATAAAAAAGATCTGTATAATGATATTGATGCATACTGAACTATTTCCCAATATTTGTTCAATATAATTGAATAGATTGATTGTTTTTAAAGAATTCCAGCAACATGTATCAGTATTAAACTAAGAACCTGATTTGTCATGAAAAAACTTTCATAAAGCTAGCAGGAAAAAACATACAGTGACTTTTATTTGATATAGGAAAATTAACATCAGACTCACCTCTCAAAGCTGAAAAAAAGTATGTCTTGTACCACCGCACAAAACATTCTGCATTGATTACCAAGCGCTTAATCTTGTTTAAGAAAATTCGTTTGAATATTTTAAATGGTCTTTAGCTCTTCCATGCTTTGCATTATCTAATTTTCTAGTGAATAAACATCTCCAATGTGACCAGTCTTAGACAGTTCATGGTGTACATAATGAGCAGCAACACGACTGATCATAATGTAACAGTTTTTGTTATTAAATTAATTGTAACAAAATTTAGTCCAGTTCTTTCTAAAACTGTATTTGGCCAGCTTTGCCCAACTCTGTTTCTTTTCTACTGTTTACTTGACAAACAAGTCCCATGGAAGGAGTCAATGGCAATGTTACAAAGTTCTACAATACCTTTAATTAGGTAAAGCAGCCAGAAACTTCAAACTGTTTCTGGAAACTTTTTCCAGTTTGTGAATAACAATAATATTTTCCATATGTTGCTGGTTTTGCTTTTATGTTTGTTTTACTTCAGGTGCATTAAGTGTCACAGCACTTATAATGCAGCCTATGTATTGAGGATGGCTACTTTATTATGCAGTTGATGATACTTTAAAAAAATAAAATAAAAAATCCTTGCAGTAGAGAGTAGTTTCAGAAAAATATAAGAACTTTTCTTCAGTTTTGCATCACAGAAATAGTATTTTTAATACACTGAATTAACAGAATTATTGTACTAGCATTTCAACACTACTGGACTAGCCAGGTAAGAAATACAATCATTTTCTCATACTCAGTAACTAGTATTTTATCAGACAGAATACATAGTAGGAAGGACTTTTATAAATCATTCATATCCTGATCAAATTCTCTTGTAGGACTAGTGTAAATCAGGAGTAACTGCACTGCAGTCAATGGAGTTTCACCAATGGTTAGTGGTGAAAAGTTAAAAGAGAAGCAAGGGTAAAGGCTCCTAGCATTGTTCCAATTTTAAAAGACTGGCAGGGTGCTTTTAATCGCTGTATTTGTTAGTTCTAAAGTAAAAGATCTTAACTCATTTTAAAAGCATATTTCTAATAATTTATTAGCATTTTTGAGCACATTTGCTTTTCACTTAAATACAGCTCAGTGGGGTTGGTTCCATAAGAAAAACAGTTTCATACTGTCATACAATAGAAACATGAAAACAAAAAAATTCCGTAAAAAAACTTCTGGAATTTGTTCTATACTTGTGCCTCTTCCGTAGATTTTTCTCTTGGTTGTTTCTTTTGAATACAAGGTTGTATAAGTAAAAATATTATTCCCACCATGTATAGCAAGCCAGATATGTAAAAAGAAAAATCATATTTATGTGTGATGTCATAGATCCAACCTGCAAAATAAGGACAAAACATGTTTGTTACAAAGCTTGACAACAAGGTACATTGCATGGGAAAATATGAAAAACACTGCACATTTCTCTTACGACGCTGTAGTCAAATCCATAGATGTTTTGTGGAAAAAAGAGGTGGTGATTGTCTCCTCCTCTAGATGCTACAAACAGAAATGTATTAACAAAATCTCTTGTTCATTCACCAAAATCCAAAACTAGTGCAAAACCTATCCCCTCACTTAAGCATCATGGAAGTCTTAAAACGGGACTCTAGCTATGTGCCATCCTAATAAGCCAAGCAACCTTCTCTCTAAAACTGTACACTTTTCAAATAAGTTATCACAGGTCTGACTTTAAAATAGACATTTAGGAATCCCAAACCGATTAGTTCTTTCACCCTACTATTTTCTTTGTAAAATGCCTGACACTGCAGGCTGGTTCAAATGCTGTGCCTTGTTGTGCTGGTTTGGCTGGGATAGAGTTAATTTTCTTCATAGAAGCTAGTATGAGGCTATGTTTTGGATTTGTGCTGAAAATGATACTTGTGCAAGCAAACACATTCACAATAGCTTTCTCAGACTTACATACCGATAAAAGACTTTTCAAGAGATACCATCTCAGTACTGTAATGACTCTCATTGCAACCTTAATTCCTTTGCAAAAATACATCAAAGTTACTTCAAAAAGGTTTGAGAACGCAAAATAGCAAAATTCCCTCATGTCATGCTGGTTGCATTGCGATCTAACCTCAAGATCAGAAGCTTTTTTTACATCAACTAATTGCATGCTGTTTGCTTCGTTACGAATGACCAAATCCAAAGACATGATCAGCACAGACTGAGAGGTGCTGAAGGAATATATGGTAGAGTAAAACACTGCTGCTTTTCAAAGGGCAGTAAATCAGCTTTCTTCTAAATAGTGTCAGCTCACTCAATGGTGGGGAGAGAAGGTGAGAGCATGCCCGCTTTTCCGGGTTGCTTGTGCTGCTAATAGCTCCAGTTCAGCCTACTGCCACCCCTGGCTGACCACGGCCATTACTCACAAGGTTTCTTATTGCTTTCTTCTGATTTGCGTATCTGTAAAAGACAGAGGTAGTCTGGCTATAGTATTGACAATCAGTACCTATAGCTCTCCTGTACTTCCCTGCCTCTTTCTATGAGAAAATTTATAATGAATGTTTGTTTAAACCTAAGTAACTTTAGGGGTAACATACATACACTTCTACCTTCTGCTGTGGATGGCAGTAAAGACATTATGAGCAGTGCAGTCCCCAAAGTAGGTATTTCTGGCTGAAGGAAGGCAAAGCTAAGTTAGTTAAATCAATACATCCATTGGCAGCTTAGAGTGGTGACACCCAAACACACTTTATAGTTCTTGGGGGTAATACTATGGTACAAACACCTGCCTACCCTGAAAACTATTCATCATTTTTTCATCTAAAGGCATGAGTATGTATAGTGCATATACTACACAAAACATAAAAATAGGTTAAACCTTTCCGTTTTAAAAATTTATACGGTAATATTTTAAAGAAACATACCATTGAAAGGATAGCTTGCAATAGATTTGGGGTTATTTGCAAGGATGGTAATTTCTAGTGTGTGAATAGTGAGCTGATACCCAGCAGATGTGATCTGTAAATTTGTACAATGTAAAGCTGGATGTTACGGTCCATTCTGGAGCAGCTGTAATTTTAACTACACGTGCTCAGAACATAAGAAATCTTAATAATGTAACGAGTCACACGGTTATTATACAAACATCGGTTGGTTAGAGATTTGAACTTTTTACCTGCAAAGGGTGGTCCAAGCAATGCAGATATTCCATTGGCACAAATGATGATGCCATAGGCATTTGCAAGGTGTTTAGTTCCAACTAAATCTTCAGTCACAACAGGCATTAGAGAAAAATAGCCACTAGAAAATCCTATTAGAGCACAAACCACAGCCAGGCTAACGTACGTTTGCATTAGTGGCAAAGTAAGAATGCAGGTGACCAGGGTAAAGTTAGCCATGAGGAAGACATTCCACGTGCTGATGCACGGGAGATCAGAGACGATTCCAAGGATCACTTTACCAAAAATATGAACAATGGCTATAATGGATGTCAAAGGGAATATATTGTTCTGACTAGATAAGTTGTACTGCTTGACTATTTCTGGAAGATGAATAAAGGGTATGACAAAGCTGCTATAGGCAAACAAAGCCCAAATTATAAAGGCCACAAATACTCTATTGGTAAACAGTGATGCAGCTCCAAAGTAGCTGGAGTACCATATTGCAAAGCCCTTCCTGACTGTAACCGTCAGCTGGCTCACTGTCTTAAGAATGCGCAGTCCGTACATATTCCTTCCACTTCTAGATTTACCTCCAATTTCTATGTGCTGAACACTGTCAAGCACTTCTTCATTTGTTGCCTCTTCTTTTTTTTCCAGTTCTTCACTGAGGACTCCGTTAGATTTTATAGTCTCTGCAGAATGGGACAGAGCTTTTGCCTGATTATCTTCACTATTACTTCTCACAACATATTTTTCACTACCAACGTCTCTGGGAGAGAGTGGTCTCATAAGCGCCCCGCAGACACATAGGTTCAGGGAGATGGCACCCTGGATGAACATGGCGTTCCTCCACCCAAATTCGGTACAGAGGTACTTCAGTAAGGCAGTCATTAGGAAAGCTCCAAACCCTGTTCCCGTGGTACTGAGTCCTTGTGCAAGTGCCCTTCTCTTCTGAAAATACTGCCCCACCATGACCACCGCAGGCAGATAAACCATGCCACTTCCAACGCCTATGAAAATAAAAACCGAAGTCAATCTGAACTTTTTGCCAACAAGATAAAAAGCAGTGAAAATCGAAATCAGTTTTATTCCTAACTTTTGCACAAACATAGTAGTAAAACCGAGAATAAATATTCAATTCTCATGTTAACTTTTGTTTCTGTCTTGTAGTATTTTCCAAAATCTGCAATACTCATTCCAGTGAGAATACAATACTGCTATTTAACTGCTGGAAAAATTGAAACACATGGAAGACAAAACCTTTACCTCAATTCAGCATGACACCACTGGAAAGCCCCAAACATCCCACAATGAATCAGTGACAGTTAATATGGGGACAAAGGTAAACGAACCCTGTTTTGAAATATCTGCATTTGTTATACTTGCATCTGACTGTATCAGTGACCAGAAATTGCTTAGTAGGCACATCTTGTTGCTTTTGCCTAAGTTCACCAGTGATGAAGATCCAGACTGAGTTTTTGTCCTTGCTTTGTAACTGTGGAGCCACAGTGACTGTGAGATACGTTTCAGGAGTCAGCACAGGGGGTTAGCCCAGTGGTAGGACCTTGGGTGGCTTCCAGGTTTCTCTTTGGGCACTCCAGAGAAGTCCAGGGAGGGCCACACAGTAGCTGCACAGGCATTTTCTTAAAAGGCAGATCTCTAATTTTGTAGAAATTCCCTCACTTGTAGTTAAAAACCAGGGTGCTAATGGTACCTATTTCAAGCAAAAAGTGTTGAGAGTTGCACAAACACATCATTAAAGGTAGCAGTTGCCCCGTTTTTCTCATAGCAAATTCCTGACAGGGGGGACTTGGACTGGAAGAGGTGTACGCAAAAGAAGCTTCCAAATTAACTACGATCATAATTTAGACGAGTCTTTTGGGCTTAGAAGTTTTCCTAAATAGCTGATAACGTAGCTGCATGCAGCTACAGCATGATCTAGCTACACCTAGATTGGAGAAAGAGCTATTATTCCAGCAAAGCATGAAAAAAAGCACCTCAACGTCACGGCAGTGTACCATGGTCAGAGCTGACTTGTTTTGCCTGTTAGAAGTATTTATTTCTTTGCTATGCAAATACATGATCCGGTTTTTATTTTGCACAAAGTCTGCTTCCCCAAACCCAGCCACAAACTCTACAGAAATCTCTCTGCCCCCCAGAAGACTCCCTGCCTCATCAGACCGGCCTGCCGTCGACTGCTGTGAAAAAACAGCCCGGGCTCGTACTTGTGTTAGTGTTTACTGCACTTCCCTGTGCATCCTAAGAAATAAGACATTTTAAAAATTGTTTTATCTTACCTTTTCATTCTGTGGGCTACACAGAAAAATGTAGTCTAATCACATGCAAAGGCATGCCACCTTCACTGGCACATACAGGGCCACAGGCCTCTCCACTCCTTTTCCTCACAGATTTGTCACCCTGCAGCATGACAGCAGCCACCAGGCCGGCTCTGCTCTCCCTTTCCACGGGGCCCCAGGGGGCATTTTGCCCCCAGCCCACAGGGCCTCCCCGCCACCAACGGCTCCAGGTGCTCACCCAGGGGCTCCCCGGGATGGGTGAGGGGGGAGAAGGCTCCTCTGCCCCCCCATACTGCTGCTGCAGGGAGAGAGCCCATGGAGCTGGGATGAAGCTGGCAGCCAGGTGAGGGGGCAACGCTGTGAGGGGAACCACACTGAGGTGAGAGGCGCTTTGGGAATGGGAGCTGAGGCGGCAGGGTGGCTGCGGCCGGGGGACAAGATCGGGATTGTGGGGACGTACTGCATGAAGGCATCTGGCATGGATGAAAACAGGAAAACGGGGAAAACAGGAGATGTGAGTAAGCCCACGAGCACTGCATGGAGGCCCAGAAGTGATCGCAGCAGGAGGCAGCCACCATAAGTGAACAGCAGTCTTACATCTAGTGGCCATGAGAACGTGAAAGAGACTTCCCTGAGGTGGCGGTGAGTGAGGTGACTGCGAGCAAGGGGATGGGAGTGAGGGGACAGGGACTGAGGCAAAGGGTGAGTGAGGAGATCATGAGTGAGGGGACGGTGAGTGAGGGGATGGCAAGTGAGGGAATGGAGAATGGAGGTCTCATGGAGCCGGGGGAAACATCTCAGGCATCTCTACACTGGTTTTCTGGCCAGAATTACTCCTGCAACAGCACCTCACTTCTTCACCTCATGTAAAAATTTGCCTCAGATTTTTTCTGAAAATATGGTTTTCACCCCTCTTTAAATTCTCTGTATAATTTCTGCCTTTTTGTCTGGTATTTTCAGTATGCTCTTTCTGAAAGGAGGCTGAGAGAAAGAGAGTGTAGATTATCTTCTTGATTATATTCAATATATATGGAAACAGAAATTCTGAAAAGGGCAGACCCTGCCTGTAATTATTGCTTTTCGTTCAGGACTTTACAACATTACTGAAATCTATGGTACGGTGGTATAAAGAGTCGTCACAGTGATCACAGTCATCACTAGTTTCAACTTTTTTCCATCCAGAGAGCTAGATAAAAAATTATGTACAAAAATTCTGCAGATTTCTGTGAAATTCTGTGAAAGGGTAGTTTGAGGGCATGGAGGGTACTGAAGCTATTATTAGTATTGCAAATCTTTTTTTTCATAACGCTTCTGCCTGTCACGTAGAACACAGATACCATCCTTCATTTGCAAACATAACTGGCCATGTTATTTGTGGAGTGAATAATATTTCAAAGCCCTTTGAATTGCTCAGTGTTGCTCAGATAATAATTAAAGGCCAAATTTTGTATTTCTCACTTGGATCACTTTAACATTTTCGTTTCATATCTATTAACAGTTTCCCTTTCCAGAAATGAACAGTGAATAAAATGGAGTATGCTTTAAGTAGATAATACTGGGTTCTTCTACATAACTTCCTTAAAGTAACTAAATTTTTTCACAAAAAGCCACATTTTGCTAGAAACTGAGCATTCAGGCACTAAGAATCTATTGGTTTTCCAGAAAGATGCCTAAACATGCATGCCTTTTCATATTTTGCTGGGGCTCTTACACATGTCAAAAGGTTTTCTAGAGACCTAATTCCAATAAAAATGACAAGTATTACTTCTTTCAGTGATTTTGATTGTAAAAAAATGTAGCAAAATTAATTGCTATTTATTAGTGGTTGTTGATGTAATCTGAATTATTAGAAACTACGTATGAAATACGGCCACATGCATTATCCTAATTCAGGCTGGAATAGAGTTAATTTTTTTCATAGTAGCTAGTATGGTGCTTTGGTTTTGGATTTGTGACCAAAACAGCGTTGATAAAACAGGGATGTTTTAGCTGTTGCTGGTCAGTACTTACACAGCATCAAGGCCTTTTCTGTTTCTCACGTGGCCCTGCCAGTGAGTGGGCTGGGGGTGCACAAGCAGTTGGGAGGGGACACAGTGGGACAGCTGACCCCAACTGACCAAAGGGATATCCCATGCCATATGACGTCACGCTCAGCAATAAAACTGGGGGAAAGAAGGAGGAAGGGGGGACATTCAGAATTACGGCCTTAGTATTCCCAAGTAACGGTTATACATAACCAAGCCCTGCTTTACTGGAAATGGCTAAATTAGGAAGTAGTGAATGCATTACTTATTTTGCTTTGCTTGCATGTGCAGCTTTTGCTTTACTTATTAAACTGTCTTTATCTCGCTTTTACCCTTCTGATTCTCTCCACCATCCCACTGCAGAAGAGTGAGCGAGCAGCTGTGTGAGGCTTAGCTGTCTACCAGTAGTAACCCACAACACCCTTTAAAATAGTTTTTGAAGCAGTACGTAGTTATCATAATCTGGTATTTTATTAATGGGGAGCAGCTCCTGTAGAAAACACTTGCTGTTTCTTCCTGTGACAAAGAGAGGAGTTAGCTAGATATATAGTTCAACAGTGTTTTAACATTTTTAAATTCCACTTGTTAGAGTTTGGGTTACATTAATTCTTCTAATTAAAAATGTCCTCTAATATATTCACTTGGGAGAAACTGATAAAAATACGATCTTCACATGGCAGATTTAAATGACAACAAAAGTCATTGGGCCGAATCCACTGAGAAAGTAAGTTAGTTTTCAGAAAAGATAACAGGCTGTAAAGAGCGTGAAAGAAAAGCTGGAATAACTTTACAGTCTAACTTCCCTCTTTACTCACCCAGATAACCTTCAAAGGAATCAAAAATAATTGAAAGAACTTTCAAAAGTTAGTACAGCTTACCGGCTGTCACTCCAAACGTAAGGAAGAGGTAGTGCACATTTGAGGCATAGGAACTCAGTATCCAACCTAGAGCATTCAACATCCCTCCAATTATAGCTGTCTTGCGGCACCCACACATGCTGATGAATAAACCAATGAAAGGACCTGTTAAAAAACATGAAAAAATGTTAAATTATTTATTTAATTCTGTACATTTTTTAATAACTTTTCACATGAAGATTCTTAATGTTTTAAACAAAATGTTAAACATCAGGCTACTCAGGCGATTCAGTTTATTCTCCCTTTTTAAAATCGTGAAAAGAAAAATTTCACCAACCGACCAAATACTTAGTAAATACCCGCAGGACCTAAAATCAAAGTTGCCCCATGAAGAAGGGACAGTTTAAACAGAGGAAGAAACTGAAAACGTTGTTCCCAATATTAATGCTGTGTGAGTGCAGGCCTTTTTCACAATTAGAAAGTAATCATTTTATTTTGTTTTCAGTGGAGTATTTTAGGCAGACCTAAACACAACTTTTTCAATCTTAATTTAGGGAGACAGAGGTGTATATGTAACACAAACATACCCCTCCAGATATTATTTTGGGTTGATCCAACAACAACTTAAAACATGAATTTTAGTTCAGTTGCCAAACTGAAATACAAACTGTCCGAATTCAACATCTTCTCCTCCCAGATAGAGTACTGGGAGGACCACAAGTTTCACAGATGATCTGTTTTCTTCATTCTAGTGAGACCTCGAAGTCACAGGCATCCTTTCCTGCTCATGCTGTCTCCTGCAGTAATTGTTGTCTTTATCATCTTCCCTGTTGTTCCCTTTCTCCCTCTAACTTGTAAAATTTGTCCTGGTGACTTTAAAAAGGCAGCTCAGGAGAACTTGGGCAACTCTCCTAATAAAATGGAAAACTGTAAGAAAATACTTGAGGGATGAGTGGCAAACATATTCTAAAAATCTTTGTAGTTTTGAAATAAATTATGCTGGAACATACCTACAATAAGTGTAATGCCCATGCTCAGGGAGCTAACCCATGCTGTTAAGCCACGACTTTGATTAAACTCTTCAAGCCATTCCATGTTGAGTATTCCAAGGGCCATTTGGGACCCCATGATAAGTATGTGCACAAGGAAAGAGGAAAGTACAATCATCCAAGCCCATCCTCCATCGATGTTTGGATTAGGCTTAATTGGCTTACTTCCAACTTTTGAGTCATCTCCAAAATCGTATCCAATATCCTCTCGACTAGCATACATTTTCTCCACGGTATTCTGAAACAAATGCAGTAAATAGCTTCAAAATACATACAAAATTATCAGATTTTGTAGCTTGGTTATAGTGAATGGCAAAAATCACAACTGTGTTTCACCACTGTGATTTAGTGCAGTTGTAAAGCGAATACTGGGTTTTCATTGTTCAAATGTAAAATGCTTAGAAAATTCTCTAATTAACGTATTTCTTCATGTACCTTATTATCATGGCTGTCTATGCAGGAGCATTTATGGGTTGACAGTAGGCTGCATTATTTCCATTACTATATACTTTACTTACTTGTAGGTGGCTGAGAGCACTCACTCTTCATGGGTTGACTGTGGTCACAAAAAAAGACTTATCTCTCTCTGTATATTCCTTCTCCGTATCACCTTCTGCCGTCCCAGTAAGATTATGTGCCTTTGTGTTCAAGTTTATAAAGCTTGGAATAAAAAATGGAAATCCTGAAGAGGCAGGTAGATGAAGTTACCATCTGTTTTCAGAGGAAACCAGTTTTGAGTAGTGGAAGAACAAGAGTGAAGACACAGAAAGATAAAGATTTAAGGTTCTTGATTTTCAAAATGCTTTGCTTACATAAATTACAACAAGGGGATTGTTACTCCCTCTCTGGCAAGCTTTAAACTTTTATTAGAGCCAATTTGACAAACGGTTTGCTATTATGCTTTCAGTTTCCATAGTATTAATCCATATAATCCTACTAAAACCAAAGAATTCTTCCAAATCAATGTCAATGCATATCAGAATCAAACTGAGTGGCAGAGTTACGTGCATAGGTGTATGTAGGATCAGGCCATAATAGCTTAATTTGATTACTTTGATTTCTTCCATTGTTACTCTAAGAGAAGACTGCAACGCAATGTGAAAATAATTTCAAAACAATTTTTAATTTATTAACAGGCAAGGTGCAGAACCCCAGTCTTCCCTCCATCTGATTTCTGCTGCAACATATTGAAATGTTACCCGACTGTGGAGCACCACATAGGTTTCCATGGAGACTAGAAATGTAATGATACAAATTACCAGAGATGGTAATTTTTTGTCTTCTTTTCTTCTCCAGAGAAATAAAAAGAGCCATCAGCTTCACAACAGTCAAAAGAGAAAAGAAAGTTAGCAAATATTGTTTAAAAAAGCTTCTTGTGTATTCTGTGAGCCCCCAGAAGGTGTGCCTCAGGGCTAGCTCCTCACTACCGAAAACTGGCAGTGAATGGAGTAACTCAGATTCTGTACTAACTGAAAATGTGGGCTGTTGTCTTTAAATACATGAGTATATTTTACACTATTTATACTATTAACTTTCCACTAATGTCATAAGTCCAGAGTGAATACAATCAAAAGCAGGGAATGTCATTTCCAATAATTGCACAAACTCTTCAGGCTCTGGATAAAGCAAGGACTGGATGTCTGGATCCTCTCCTCACAACTGGCTCATCGCCCCGTGGCCTATCGCACCCAGGAGAAATGCACTTACCTGCCCTCAGCCTTCTTCCCACACCACAGCACTGCCAAGAACGTGGTATCACGGAAGGCAGAGAAGCCCAAGGGGCTCTTTGCAATTGTGAAATCCCAGAGAAACTGCAATGAAAATGGCAGCAGCTCATTTGTGAAGCCAGCCCTATTTCCCCAATGAGCAAGGTAGCGAAGACCCACTCACAGTAACAGTGTTTGAATACAGCCCCTCACAAGGACTGCATTTAAAGGCAGGAGAATCTGGATTCTTGTTTGGTCAGCTGGAGAAGCACTAGATTTTTTTTCAGAAAAGCTTTTATATTGTATGCACACACAGTATGCAGAGCTCTTAAAAAACTGGCCCGAACATTAGCGCCCACGAAGATGCTGATCTTTTTTGAAAATCTGACTCATGAGCTATTTTAGGGATAAATGCAGGTGCTGTAATAAGACCAAAGTCAGCAGCAAAACACCAAAGTTCCCTGTACCATCAGTGGAGCTATGGCTCTCTAGCTTGTAGTTGAACTGGATCACTGAAAAACATCCGATCTTGATATTAGAAGTCCATATGATGAACAATTTACATATACTTTGGTAACCTCTTCCAGTACCTGATTGCCTGTTAAAAAGTATAGAATAAAATCTTACTTTAACGGCACTTCCAATGGTTAACTCATAAATGCATTATAAAAAGTAGTGAGTTTTGCTTCACAGTATTCCCAGTAGACATGCCACACATCATTATTTGTCTTTTGAAGACATACAGAAAAAACATTGTTAAAACCAGTGTATTTCGAGTGCCATAAGTTTTGGCAGTCCAACTTCAACTTGCTAATACATTGAGCACTTCAGTTGTCGAGCCCTTCAGTTGTCAATGGCTTCACTGGAGCGGTGGATACTAGCCACTTCTGCAGACCAGAGCCACAGTGCGTAACTGTGCATGCCCAGCAAGGAAGAGAAAACCAGGGAAATTAAATGCTTAAAACGCTAAGCTAATTGCCAGGGTCACAAGTTTGCATGAAATCGGCAGCAGTTCAATTTCCAGACTCGGGTTGCTGCCCTTCCGCCCCTGAGGGCTGTTTCCCAGGCCCTGCTCAGAAGACCTCGCCGGGAGACCCCTCGGCGCTATTCTGCCTCAGTGTGACCCACGAGTGGTCCCACGTCCCCGGGGAAGCGGGAACAGGCGCAGATAACACACATTTTTCTCCCCTTGGTGCCAAGGGAATGGGCCGCTTGCATCAGGCGCTGTACCTCAATTTTGTAAACGGTTACAGACTGTTACTGGAGCAGCCCGAAGGCAGGGGAAGGTAACAAATTCGGGAGCTTTACAGCAGCCCTCCCCAGCATCCCAGTTAAGCTCACCGATGCAAAGCACTGCTCAGACGGGGAGGGCTGCCGTCCCCCGAGCCCCGGG